CTCGCTCGCCAGAGCGATTGAGCGCACGCACTGAGACGACAGAGGTATGCATCAACTCGTGTTAGATAAGGGAATAACATATGAAGAGTTCAGATGCAAAAGCCTCTATGTGCCATTTGAAATTTTCTTCTAGAATGATCATTTTTATCAAGCTTGTATATTTAAGTTCAGTGATTTCACTTAAATGGCAATGATGATTACCTATTAATTGTTATTTAAGTGAAATTACTGAACTTAAATATACAAGTTTGATAAAAATCATCATTTAAGAAGAAATTTTCAAATGGCACTTAGAGGCTTTTGCATCTGAACTCTTCATATTTTAATATGAAAAAAAACGGTGGAGTCTCCCTTTAATGTGACTTTGATAGTGACATTAAAAGATCAAATAAAATATACACCTTATTTATGTTAGATATACATTGCTATATACACGCAAGCAGATAAGCTCAATTGTGCTAAATGTGCTAAATGTTTTTTCAATTGTTTTTTTTAATTGGAAAACGTGTGTGTAGCGTTTATAACCTGGGTTTGTCTGCTTGCAGTACAGAGTATGTTTTATTAATTAAAGGTGTATACTGAATTTGGTCTTAAAGCATTTTCTTTGTAATGGTTTCCCAGACAACTACATAGTACCGGTGTTCTGTCGATTTTGCTGCCTTGTCGAAAAAATGCTACCGTAGCGCGAATTGATCACAGAATGCCGAATTAAAGTCGTATGAAATACAATTCTAATACAATTCTAAGTTATGAGTAGCTACTGTATACTGTAGACTACTGTTTTATTTTTAAAACGGTGTGTGAAAGTAAAAATTATCATAAAATATTCATCTTTGACTTGTCAAAGTACACCTTTTCTTATAGTAACTGAAACTTTCAGTTATTCCTTTTCAGCTGGCTGACCGTACAAATATTCATATGGTAGTAAGCATTTTTTAAAGGGAATTATACATTATAACATGAAAATGTACCTTTTGTAAAAAAAAAAAAAAAAAAAAACTGAGTCTGCACATGCGCATAACCGGTAAGTAGGAAATCGTCGATGGTAGCATGAATTGTCAGAACACCGGCCCAGATCCGGTTGCAGTAGGCGAACTGGAATGCAGCATTTGTGTATAAAAATAGCCCTTGTGTTTCATTGTTCAGTTGTCTTTACTCCCATATAACTGCTGTTGGTGAGTTTGTTTAGTTCATGTTTCACACCATATAAAATTTAAACACATTTTATAGGAAACTATTATTTGAAGTCTTTATCTCATGTGAGAGTAATAGAACATTCAGAGATGATTTAAAAAATAACTGACTTCATTTTTAATTATCAACAAACTACTGAAAGCACCTTTTGTTGATATGAACAATCAATACAGTCCTTTTTATTTCTTTTTCAAGACTATGTTTATTTCATGTTATTTCATTGCGATTACAATTTAAAAAATTCCCTTGTTTGTGACCCTTAAGAATTGCAAAAGAAGTACTCGTATGCACACGGTATCTCACGGTTTATTAATATTCATTACTGTCGTCTCTGGCAGCATGGTATCGTGCCCATTGTAGAGCCTGAGATCCTGCCTGATGGTGACCACGACTTGAAGAGATGCCAGTATGTGACAGAGAAGGTTCTGGCGGCAGTGTACAAGGCTCTGTTGGACCACCACGTGTACCTGGAGGGAACGCTGCTAAAACCCAACATGGTGACCGCTGGTCACTCTTGCTCCCACAAGTACGCTCCTCAGGAAATTGCCATGGCAACCGTCACCGCCCTGCGTCGCACGGTTCCCCCAGCAGTTCCCGGTGAGTCGAACACCCCCAAAACACACACTGATGCATCTCATCATCTTATTAAAACATACACTATGGGGCCCTATCATACACCCGGTGCAATGTAGCGCCGGGCGCAAGCGTTCTTTGCTAGTTTCAGCCTGACGCAGTTATCATTTTTACGTCCTGCGCCACATTGTTTAAAAAGCAAATGCATTTGCGTAGCCTGGGAAAAACACAGACAACTTCCAGCTAATTTAAATTTTGCTCTGAAAGTTATTCTGGCAAAGAGCTCATTCAAACCCATTTCCAGTCCGCAGAAATCGCAGCACCAATCAGAAACGTTTGGGGCGGGCTTTACACGATGACGACAGCGCTGGGATTTTGAAGCAGATTTTGTAGCCCTACATTACAAAGATGGACGCCGCCGTCGAACATCACTCACTTGAATCAGTTGTCGCATCTGTTTTTAAGCGATTTGAACGTTTCCTTCTTGTTAAAAACCGAGGAAAGAACAACACTCGGAGATGTTTCTCCGCCGGCCGCCGCTCTGCATACGTCATCTCCTTCATCGCTCTGATTGGTTTTAGGTGACGTCCGCTGGTGACGCCCCTCTGGAAATGATTTGTCTATGACGCTTTGCCAAACCATGTCTCAGTTACAACTGAGAATGGTCTGGTTTTAACCAGGCTAGCATTTGCGCCCATTTGTGCGCCCATGGACTGCTGGTCTGAAAACGAGGCTTGTTCAGGTGCATTGTTGGCGTGTTGCTATTTTGAGGCATCTGAAATAGACTGCGCCATTGACCAATCAAAACCTAGTCTGAAAGTCAATGGCGCAATATATTTTTAATTTAAAGAGTCCACAACGTGCGTACACTCTTCTTATTACACACTTTCACTAAAAAGATGTAAAAAGATATGGTGGAATCCGGCTTGTTGGTCTGCTCGCACGCTTTAACCTCGCGCACGAGCAGATCCGTTTGCACTGTTCAGTTTTTCCGTTCGCAAATTCCAGCATGTAAATAGCGAACCCGCCATGGCACAAGTGCAACTGAATTTTAAAGGGAATGGGAGATGAGACTCTGATTGGTTTATTTGCACGTTACGCCCAAAACACACCCAGAATATGGACAACCCTTTACCATGCGCCGGGTGCACCGACCATTTTTCCCGTGGTTAAAATAGCAAAAGTGCATTTGGACACGCCATAGGTGCACTTGATCTGTGCGCTTAGATTGTTAAAATATGGTTTTATATCTTAATTTCTGTGTGTTACTCCCACAATGCAGGAATTCCACCTCATGTACTATAAATTTAATGCAAATTGAATTAAATGTGACTATATTAGGGTGTAAATTGGACACTAATTCTTTTAGCCACCGATTCTATTATTAGCATGATACCTCAAAGATACCACAATTCATTACTAGTTCATTCATTACTATCTGAAGTATCCATTTGTTGTGAAACAAGGTAGCACAACTAAAACCTTTATTATCTTCTTCCTTGAAAGGCATCACCTTCCTGTCCGGAGGCCAGAGTGAGGAGGAGCCTCAATCAATCTGAGCGCCATGAACCAGTGTCCCCTGAACAAACCCTGGGCCCTCACTTTCTCGTACGGCCGTGCCCTGCAAGCCTCCGCGCTCAAAGCCTGGGGGGCAAGAAGGAGAATGGCAAGGCCTGCCAGGAGGAATTTGTCAAAAGAGCCCTGGTGCGTAAATAACCTTACAGTTCCACTTAAAAGTTATGATCAGTATTGCACTTCCTCTTTTTAATGATTTGAGGTTTGTGCATGTTTAGGCCCCATATAGCATAGTAAAGTATGACACACCACTAATAGCAGCTGTCAAATATCCCCACCTACAGTTGGAACTACACTCTGTATAATGTCATTATTAATCACAGTTCACAAATATGCAGGGTTGTTTTGTTGTTCGATTCAAATACAGACAAACCCATCCGTTTGTACATAAACCCACTGTACATAGCTTCATAGAGAGCTGGAAGCCATTTTTAAACCTTTTTGAGAAAGTAAACAAAGACATTAACAAAACCAACCAGTTACGAGATGAATCACAACATTACAAACTTTGATCAGAAGCAAAAAGGTATGGAGTATGAACCATTATAAAGAAAAAGCACAATTGAGAAATATAATACTACTGATTTAAAGATGTTGATTATATAGAGATGCCCTACATTTTTTCTTGTTCAAAAAGTCGATTCACTCGGACATACTGTATTTAGTATTAAAAATCAAATCCCCTTTGGAAAATGAATGAATGGGATTTTTACTTGTTACACTCAAATATGATTAGATTGGCTGTTATTTAGTCGAGCGACAGAATTTTCGCTTTCAGCATGAATGATGTGACATTCTTTGCAAACATTTCTGGCATGCAGTTCACTTTTCCTATATTTTATTAAACTCATGTGTTGATTTCCTCTACAGAACAACAGCGCAGCTTCCATCGGTAAATATGTCTCCAAAGGAGACACCGCAGCTGCAGCGGGAGAGTCTCTGTTTGTGGCCAACCACGCTTATTAAAGAAACACGTCCACTGGATCATCTGTTCTGTCACCTCACACACGTGTGTGATCAATCATTTCTGTGACTCGCTGTTATTCCTGTAGTCATTTGACAATGATATTAAAGAAAATAACTGACCAAGCAGAAAAAAATCCTCCAGACGGCCCCCATTTAATGCTGTCATTCTTCTCTGTCCTGTTTCTGTGGCTGCAACCCTGAAAGTTTTGCATCTGTTGTTTTCTTTTTCACTATATATTTTCATTATTTGGCAAAAGAATAAAAACCAACCAACACATAGAGTTTGATTGCCTTCACAAATGTGTGATCTCTATATAATCAATTTAAGCAACTTTGCAATTTGTATTAGTTTAAAGGGGTGATGATATGAACTGAGATATCAATTTTCCTTGAGCTTTTGACATCTAAGAGGTCATCATATTATAAAACTATCCTGTAAGTTTCAGAACTGAAAACGTCCTTATAGTCCAATAACGCTTTTTTGACACCAGCCCCAGCAAACGACTCGTTTTTAGAGGTGGGGAACTATGACGACAGAGGATAAAACATATGGGGGTAGGATTGTTCCATTATTCAAAATAAATAGATCATGATCCACAAAATAAATGTAAAGAGTTCACAAAAAAATATAAAAACTCACAAATAAATAAAATGAGATTTGCAAATAAAACTATGTATTTACAAATGATTTTTTTGCCACAACACAACTCTGCCTGGCATTTATTTGTGAACCGCTTTCTGGCATTTGTAAATCCCCTCACGCATTTGTGGATTTTGAAACACTTCTAGCGTCGACATGCAGACAAATCCACAAATAAGTGGACTCCACCCACCGTTTCCTCAAGCCAATCAGATACTGGCCACGTTGAGCTGACCAATCGTAGCACGTTCTCACTACAACCAATCACGTTAGCTTTTACACTCGGGCGGGATATGAATGTTATTCATTTTGATTCATTTATATCTGGCGCTTCATTGAAATTGAGCTGTTGTGGTGGTTGCAACAACCTTTTTTCCAAAACGGTGGGTAGAGTCCACTTATTTGTGGATTTGTCTGCATGTCGACGCTACAAGTGTTTCAAAATCCACAATGCGTGAGGGATTTACAAATGCACAGAAACCGATTCACAAATGCTGGGGGGTTCACAAATAAATGCCAGGCAGAGTGTGTTTGTGGCATAAAAAACATTTGTAAATACATAGTGTAGCGGCTGTAGACCAGGCAAAATTATATTTTGCCGCCGCGAGAGACTAAACACTGGAGAGAATGAATGCACTGCGACGCGCAGAAACAGTTTCACACAGCGATCCACTCATTTATTGCTTCTTTGCACATAAAATACAACTGGTAGCCAGTTACCAATTCATAAGTGCAGTGTGAGTGCATAAAGTGCGGTCACAGAAAGTGTTCGCTCCCAGGCTCACTCCCTCTCTGTCAAAGCCCGCCATACTCAGGTGCACAGTGTAGCAAACAAATACGTGCAAGAAATACATCACTTCCGCCCAAGCCCCCGGTAGACACGCCACCACCTACAATCTGAGTGCAGTAAAAATAATGAATGAGACCATAAAACACAGTTGGCTCTTACACATAGTTTTATTTGCAAATCTCATTTTATTTATTTGTGAGTTTATTTTTTTTGTGAAACTCTTTACATTTATTTGTGGATCTTAATCTATTTATTTGTGAATTTGATTTATTTTTGTGAATCTTTACATTTATTTGTGGATCATGAATGAAGAGTTCAGATGCAAAAGTCTAAGTGCCATTTGAAATTTTCTTCTAGAATGATCATTTTTATCAAACTTGTATATTTAAGTTCAGTGATTTCACTTAAATGGCAATGATGATTACCTATTAATTGTTATTTAAGTGAAATTACTGAACTCATTAAAGAAGACAATTTCAAATGGCATTTAGAGGCTTTTGCATCTGAACTCTTCATATATTTTGAATAATGGAACAATCCTACCCCCATAAAAACACCACCCCCGCAGAAGAAGATAAATCGCATGCTTCAACACGGCCGGTTTAGCCCCGCCCACCGATTCTCGCATTACACGCAATCACGCATAGCTAAATAACATACCTCGTGCTGACAAACCGATCAATCCACCGAGCAACAAATATTGTGCAGTGCCTGGTTGTGAAAGACGACAGTCATTGCCTAAGCTTCCTCTGGATTCCAATAGGACTGCATGGATAAACTTTATTTTTAATGACGTTTCAGCTGATGAGGTAAAACGTCGTCTGTTCGCTTCATTTCACTGAGGATTGTCCTGTAAACAAGACTGGACTTGCAGACCGATTAAGAGTAAAGAACGGTGCTGTGCCGTCTATATTAAATAACATAATTGAATAAAAATAATGAATTATATTGGATCTGACAGGAATTGTGCAACACACAGACTTTGAATCGAATCATTCCGGTTGCCATTTTACAACATTGGACGTTTCAAAACAATACAAGTGCATCGACGAGGTAAGTTGAAACTCATTATAATATGCAAAACTGTTCTCCACTCACAGCAGTGAGCGTTTACTTCCAAGTCTTCAGTGTGAGATAATCCAGTGTTTTTTAGCTAGGCTCAAAACTAGGGTACAAAATAGCCTATTACTTATTCATTTGGATGTTTTTGAAATGCAAAAAACCAAGCGAACGTTATAAGTTGACCTCAGACAACAATATAATAAAATTTAAAAAGCCAGTTCATGACCCCTTTAAATATTACAATTATTTTATCAACTATTTAATTAAGTTCTGTATTTGCGCTGTTTCAGATCACAGACTGACCATTTTACTGATTATAAACCTGCCCAGCACATAACAATAATAAGTAATTTTACCTAACAGGAGAAATCAGGTTATAGGCCTATCTACTGACAGTTATGCTTGTTTTTCAGGTTGGTTGAATTCAGTTATAATCAGTCATCTTAAATAATGAATTTCACTTCAACAGACCCATTGTAGACGTTACCAACTGGGAAAATGTTGTTCCAGAAACTTTTTTCACAGTATTTTCTCTCTCACACATTCATTTCCCCCTTTAACCTGTTAGTTCAGAGCTGCATGCATGTCTGGGTCTGTTGTTAGTGACTAGTGACTAATAAATGTGAGAGGAAGTTTGAGATGAGCGCAGTGAAGAGAATGATAAAACTAGAGTAGAGTGAGAAGTGAAGTGTGGCTGAGCATGTGAAGCTGCCGTCTGTGCCGTTGGATTTAAAGGTCACAAGGCCAATGGCGGCTCCCTGTATGTTGTCTGTGACAAACGTGTTGAACTCGGAGACACGTGCATACACCTCTGGGAAATCCTTTATGGCACAGCCCAGGCTCGTCCCGAAACTCGTGATCCCAGCCTGGACCCACACAGAACCCTGTTTGCACTGTATCGGTCCTCCAGAATCTCCCTGCAGAGGGAGCCAGAGAGCAGACAGACAATCGAGAATCAACACAAGTGAACATGCAACAGCAAGGTTGTTTAAAGTCACCATGAAATCCCTCTTTTTTATGAAATATAGCAGTAGTTATTATACATTAATTATCCATGCACATAATTCATGTGTCTAAATAATATTTAATCAAAATAATTTACATCTTTGATGTAATTTTAAAGGGTTAGTTCACCCCAAAATGATAATTCTGTCAGTAATTTCTCTCCCTCATGTTCTGCCAACCCTGTTTTACTTTCGTTCATCTTCAGAAGACAAATTTAAAAAGAAAGATATTTCTGATTAAGTCTGAGAGCTGGATCACTCCTCCATCGGCTTCTAAGGGATTGAAAATTGCAAACAAACTGAATAGGCTATAGAGCCACTGTAGTCACTTGGACTATTTTCTGGGCCGGTCAGTTTCGATAAAAATCTAAATGTGAAAAGTGGGGTCTGATCAGAGACTATGGCTGTGTCCGAGATCTCCCACTACTCACTACTATATAGTGAGCTTGCCATTTTGTTGTGCTGTCCGAACGTATAGTGATGATTATTATACCCTATATAGTCCACTAAATGTATCCCACTCCCAGAGTGCATTTTGAAATCAACGGCGCCGAGAGACGACAGAGTAGTGTCCGAAAGTGGTGTGTCTATTATTCTGGTGAGCTCATAGTGCTCTACTCCCTACCCCCTACATAGGGGGTAGGGAGTAGTGGTTTGAGTGGAGATTTCGGACACAGCCTATTTATATATTCAGATTCAAACAGGTACGGCTGAATGACAACAGCGGGTCTCTCACTTTCAGCCATTCTGCTTAGACCGACTGCCATAGGTATGCAAGTGACGCCCTCATCCAAAGGCAGGGCGGGATATGCAGCTCATTTGCATTTAAGGTCGTATACACCAAAACAGCTCATTTTAAAACAGGACCCAAAAATGACATTTTAAAATGGTTATAATAAATTAACTATGGAGTATTTTGTGCTGAAACTTCACAAATACATTCGGGGGACACCCAAGACCAATATTACATCTTGTAAAAAGGGGCATAATAGGTGCCATTTAAAACATAATGGAGCATTAATCTTTTAGTGCCACTCACTGGACATTTCAATTCAGAACTGCTGTGATACTTACAAACTGCAACATAATAAATCATTGCCATATTCACGTTTATCTGTTCCGAAAACAACAACAACAACAACAACAACAAAAAAACTAAACAAGCTTTTAGCACCACTCACACCATTTACATTTATTCATTTAGCTGACGCTTTTATACAAAGCAACTTACAATTGCTATATATGTCGGAGGTCAGATGCCTCTAAAGCAAATAGAGGTTAAGTTTCTTGCTCAGGGATACATTGGTGTCTCACAGTGGATTCGAACCTGAGTCACTCACACCAAAGGCATGTGTCTTATCCACTGCGCCATCACCACCACATTTCATTTTGAAACTGTTGCAAAACGTGCACAATGTTGCCACAGGTACGTCTTTCGAATGAGCGTGGGCTGATTCAATTCCCGATGGACAACATCAAGTCCTGACTCCTGCCCTACTCTTTTTTTTTTTTCGGGCCAACTTTAAATAAGATAGAGAGACTTAAATGAATATTGTTTTGGTCTGTTCCCAACAATCATATGGCTTCAGAACACTTTTAATATACCACACAACTTTACAAATTGTAATTAATGTAATATGGACTTCTTTAGGATTCTTATATGGTGCTTTTTTTTTCTCATTTTGGAGCTTGACAGCCCCAGTCTTAGTTTAATAAATAAAAAAAAATAATAATATGAATATATGCCACGTGATAATCAGTCCCGTGAAACATAAATGAGGACTCGGTTGCAGGGAAACAAAGGCAAGATTTTAATTAACCAACTAAACAAAATACAAAGTAGCCTACAACGCATTCTCATCCTTTAAGGTCATATAGAACGCTATATGACAAAACGGCGCTATACTACGCACATGGCACCCGTTATCGTTAATATAAGTTATAACACGCGCTGTGAGGGCTAAGTTTAGGTGTGGGGTAGGGTGTGCGTGTCATATTCACGCTAAAGGATTTATAACGTCTTGGGTTCGTGTGTTATATTAGCGATAAAGGGTGCCATGTGCGTAGTATAGCTCCGTTTTTGCATATAGCGTTCTATATGACGTTAAAAGATGAGAACGGGCTGGTAGCCTATACAAACAAAATCCCCGCATGGGGGAAAAACCAGAACAAATACTAACAAGGCAAAAACACTCGGAACAAGAAACAGGAACTTAGAAAAACGAACCAACACCGGACTGAAAACACAGAGAAGGCTATAAAGGAAACACACAGGAGGGTAACGACAAGCCAACAGGTGAGGAATGTTAATTACTAACAGATAACAAGAAGGTAGGAGCTAATGCTGCATTCCAGGCAGGTTTTTGAGCACGTAAATCATGACTTCAAACCACGACTAACAAATTTGTAGCATTCCAGGCCAGTCACGCCAAACCTGAGCGCAAGGAATTGTGGAAGCTAGATGTAAACAAACCATTGTTGTTTTATATGGTTTTGCAGGCTACGTGACGTCAGAGCTCATAACAGGGTTGCCAACTCTCACGCATCTGGCGTGACACTCACGCATTCAGCCTCAATCTCACGGTCTCACGCTCAACAAAGGAATCTCACGCTAAATTAGAAATTCTTCTGTGCTGTATTTTATTGTATTACTATAAGCAAGTTCAGGCTCTTAACTACTGATTGGACCACTGCATTTTATCATGCAGAGAAAAATCGCGGAAAAGGATGACACGGACACCGACAGACTAGACAGAGAAGTTTACTCTTGATATGGAACGTTTTGGCGCTTTTAAATGTGACAGAACGCAGTAGCGCGTCGGTTCAAACGGCACGTGATACAGTTGCCTAGGCTACAACACCCACAGGGCACGAGCAAAATACTGTATCTGGTAATCTCCCGCTTTATATTAAACAAACTGTCAACACGGGCTTTTGCGATGCACAGAGAGACGCTGCGCTGCCTATGACTTTGAACGTGAGTTGAGAGCGTACATTTGCACTAGGTTCCTGTCTTTTTAGCAAAAAGATACCCTTCACTGAATAGTGGCGTAGGGCGAGGGCGTGAGTTGCTTGAAAGCAGCTTTTGACGCGTTCGACCCGAGTTCGAATCCGCCTTTTGCCGAACTCTCTCTTCTCCCTTTTCCCAACACCGAAACCGTGATATGACATTGTGCCTTTATAAAACAGCTCAAGACTGTAATTAAGTAGCCTATATAGCCATTCTGTTTGTGCTGCATGATTTAAAGCAAAGTGCGCACTTTGCTCACGCAGTCAGCATGGTGATCTGTTTTCTCCAAAATAAAAGCTCAAGGGTTTATTTCTTGCAAGTGAAGAAATTAGGACAAAACTATTGTAATTTTCCTATACAATACACTGTAAAAAATATTGTTGGTTTAACTTACAAAATGAAGTAACTTGATTGCCTTAAAATTTTAAGTTCATTGAACTGGAAAAATTGAGTTACAATACAATGAAGGAGATTGATTTAAGCATCAGAAACTCAAAATATTATGTTATCTGAACTACATAAATTAGTTAAGTTGATTTGACAAAAGAAAAAATGTTGTGATTACAAATCATGAAAATATTTTTTTTTTACAGTGTAGTGTAAGTAAAATATACTTTTGAACATTTAGTACATTCATTGGCTAGGCCTATATGGATTTTTCGTAATAGGAATAATTATATAAATCATTATTACATTATTTTAATAATCGTTTGGCATCCTAAAACAGAAGATTTATATCATAACTAAAAAGATGTTTGATCCCTCTTTAATGTCCAGGTACAAGTCGAGCCTTTTCCTTTGTTCAATGTCACAGTTCATGGGTTGAAGCCGGTTAAAGCTCTTAATTTTGAGCTCTCAAAGTGCACCATTGATGCATTTAACCTTAAAATATACAACATTTTCTTAAGCCTATTTTCTGTAAGGCTATGCCAAATTAAAATTGGAAAAACTATTAACAAGACATTGTGCCCAGGGGGTATTGTGCCCTACAAGACAGTGTGACGACACCACCCCCCGGAACAAATCTCACTCCAAGCAAAACTCACAAGTTGGCAACCCTGTCATAACTAGGAGTACATCGATCTAGTACGAGTTCACGGGTGGGAAGTCACGGGTTTGACGTCAGTTCGAGTGCACTTTCACGTGTATAAGGTTGGAAAAACACGGGTTACAGGTTGCCTGGAACACGGCATAATAATTAGACAGAAAGCACATGGCACAGGAAAAATCAGGAGCCATGTGCTCACATGAAACTAGACTAACGTAAACACGAAAGCCTGGAAATTTCATAGCCTTTTTTTTTGTTTGACTCACCTGACAGATTCCTTTGCCTGTTCTCCCTGCACAAATCATCTGTGGTGTGATTGTAATACCAGCGATATTCCTATACTGGCAGCTACATTGTGAGTTGCCCACAACTGGTATTTCCACCTCCTGCAGTGTCATAGGAACCGGCAAAGCCTCTGTCATACACAGAGACAGTGTTTGTGAGTGAATGACATGTTTACCCATGTTGAAAAAAAAAAACTGCATTTCCAGTCTAAGCTGGTTGGCTGGTCTTCCAGCCTGATATAACTAAAACCAGCTGAACACCAGCTTGACCAGGCAGGCACATTACATTTATATTACATTAATTTCATGTAGCTTTAAGACATCATATTTTTTTTCCCTTCTTTTGTTAATTACTTATTTGGGAGAGTTTCGGTGTCGTGAGCAATTGAGCAGAGCTGAAGCCCATAAGTTTCTGATATAAATTTAGTTTTCAATAAGCATTAAATGGAGTAAAATAAATCCTAACATGATTTATAAATACTTTGCATTTTTATTATAGTAATGAAAATGGTTTAAATGGTTTTCTTATAATTCTACTTCTTCGGTTTTCATTTGGTGTGAAATGTGCCCTGTGTAAATTCCAAAGTTTTGTGATATTTACTGGTGTTCACAGTCATGATTTAAAATCTTCATATGCATGGATATTAAAATATGAAATCTATGGGGAATTCTGCAGGGTAATTAATTAAAGCAGAGGTGTTTTTCTACATGTTAGAACTTGTAAAAGTCCTGCAACACAAACCAAAAACTAAACATTTCTGTAACACTGATCATTAGTTAACATTAGTTAATAGTTAGCATGAACGCAGTTAGCATCAATGAACTGCACTTATACAGCATTTATTTATCTTTGTTAATGTTAAGTTCAACATCTACTAATGATTTATCAAAATCTTGTTAACATTAATTAATGCACTGTGTAAAGTGTTACCGACATTTAGTTAATTATAATAATTTACAAGCTAAAAAAAATATTAGTTGAAAAACTTTAGAAATGTTGATTTGTAAGTTTAAGTTAAAGCTCTAAAATTATTAACTGGAAAGAATAAAATGCAATAATTAAAACTAAAGCAGAAATAAAAATAAATTAAAAGTAAATAGCAATATTTAAAATAAACTAAGACATTTTTTTAACAAAAATGAACATACAGTAGATATGAAGAGTTCAGATGCAAAAGCCTCTAAGTGCCATTTGAAATTTTCTCCTAGAATGATCATTTTTATCAAGCTTGTATATTTAAGTTCAGTAATTACTGAACTTAAATATACAAGCTTGATAAAAATGATCATTCTAGGAGAAAATTTCAAATGGCACTTAGAGGCTTTTGCATCTGAACTCTTCATATACTATAAAAAAAAACACTGCATAAAATACATATCTTAAAGTTGTGTATTAAAGTTTTGGGACACTCACGGTCTTTGCCAATGTTTCCCCAGCCGGTAGCCCAGCAAGTTGTGGCGTTGTGAAAGACACTTCCTTTAGATGCCAGGCAGACCGGACGAATGTATTGAGAGAAGGTCACTGGTTGACTCAGTTTCATCAGGGAGATGTCATTATTCAGAAGGCTGTTGTTGTACTTTGGATGGACGATGATGGACTGAATACCAACGCTCACTTCATTTGGGTTGGCAACAGACGTGCTCTGGGTTTGTCTTCCCAAGTACAATGTCCATCTGTTGATGTTAGTCCTGTTGCAATAGACAGTTGGAAATAAACATTTCCTTTGCGCTACAGAAAAGCTTCAGTATACATTTGTAAGCAGGCTTGTAGAAACCATTAAAAAGTTATGAAATATAAAAAAGAAAATCATTCTTACGAGACAATGCAGTGAGCAGCCGACATCACCCACTGGTTGTTGATCAGGGTTCCCCCACAGATGTGTCTGCCATTGTAATGTATACTGACCTGCCAAGGCCAGTTACCCGCAGGGGCGTCTGTGCCGCCCACTATGCGTGTGTTTAGGGGAGCTACCCCACAATCTGCAGACAATCATTTATAGATCACAAATTAGGGCTGCACACTATAGCACCGAAATTGTGATAAGACTTCAAAAACTGTTGTTTAAGATCTCAAAAACTGCTATTTAAATATTTGTGTAGATTGCACGTTTCAGAGAAAAGCCTGGAATCGAGATGGTCAGATATAGGCTATTAGTGTTGCAATTTAACAGGTGTAATGTAAAATAAAATTAGGCAACACTTTATTTCGATAGTCCACTTTAGACATTCTAAGAACTATAAGTAACTTTTCAACTACATGTCAACTTACTATCATTAGAGTATTAGTAGACTGTCAGCTTAATATCTGCTAACACTTTATTTTGTTGGTCCCCCAACAGACATTCAACTGACTATAAGTAACTTGGCAACTACAAGTAAACTGTGTTTATATAACACCATTGTTGTGGCAGAGAAAGCCATAAAATGTAAAATTGTCTGTCATCAGCTCCTTGTTGATGATGATAAAATCAACACAAAGTGTGCATTTAATGTTGTGTTTAGACTTTTGTGTTTATATCTGGAATTTATAACCACCAATCTCATGGAACTACATTATTTGGGCCAGTAGCATTAAAATGATCACTTATTTGAAGGTGGATAATAAGACACAGACATCAAGATTTTGTATATGATTCACAACAATGGTGACAATAAATACATAAAAAAGCTTCATGTGGCTAAAAATAAATAAATGTACAAATCTTCTGACCACTAAATGGCACTGTGCCGAAACACTGCAAGTAGCCTCAGGTCATGCTTCTGATGACACCAAGATTTGTCATGATATGGTAGCAGGATGGGTAGCTTTCATAGTACAAAACATCCTTGATTCCCAAGTTTTTTTTTTGTTTTGGTTGTCACCGTTGTTGTGAATCATATCCAAAATCTTGATATCTGTGTGTGACTATGTGATTCACTTGCTTAAAACATTGTGTTTGCATGCATGTTTCCAAATAATGCAATTCCACAAGATTGGTGGTTATAATCAGACATAAAGACGAAAGTTAAAACACTGTTAAGTGCTTTCTTTGTGTTGATTTTGTCATCATCAACAAGGAGCTAAAGACAGCTGATCTTTCATTTTCATTGTCTCTGCACAAACAATGGTGTTATACAAACACAGCCAAAGAAAAGCTAAAGTAAGATGATCTGGGACCAAGAGCCCCACTAAAGCAAACACTGTCACCATAATGGTGATTTAAAATGAAACAAATACCAACATCTAAACCTCATTTAAACATATAAATAAACATATGTTTTAATTTAACGCATCCTGAGTGTTTATTTGGTCCAGAAACAGTATAAATTGTCTAAATGAGACCATATGTTATGTTGAAAATATATCCACAATGGCCACATTTTAACTAATTTTTCAACTTGTACGAAGGTTCGATGAAAGTCTATAGAACACGTCACAAAAAGACGTCATAAAAACGTTCGTTCTGGCCCCTCAGTGGACGTCTTTCCAACGTCTTTGAAAAGACGTCTTTTGGACGTAATTTTGCTTAGTGGGACGCACCTACACACCTTCGGTGCTTGGCCCCCTAATAATAGGATTCATTATTATTATTGCCAGATTGATATATATAATCACAAAATTCTGGCTAAATTATACAAATAAACACAGCAAACCTATTTTAGCCATATCACATTTTAAATCATAATCACAATTAGAAAATTTTAATTAAACTTTTCCCCAAAATCGTGCAGCCCTATTACCACAATATAAGTTGTGTATGATTTATCTTGTGCTGCTCTTACCGTAGGTCTCCTGTGCATTTATTCCTGCAGAGAAAAGAGCAGACAATTTCACACTTTCACAAAAAAAAAAATCCTAAACGACAGTTCGACAGAAAGGAAGAAAGAAATAAAATCATAAAACTTTTCAAGTAAACACATCTTCTTTTAAGGATGTTTTGATATTCACGTGATTAAGAAATGATGCTCTGTAGTGAATCTCAAGAAAATCGACTCACATTAAACATCTGACTCGGCAAACACTCGACCTATGTGTATACTCATGATGAAACTCACCCTCCATACTCATCATGGCGATAGAGATGACCAAGATCACTGACAACTCCATGGCTGAAGGGAAGTGTTGTGAAAGAGAGGTGCCTTGCCTCTTTTATTATTTTTAAACTACAAACATTTCATAACAAAACAGGTTTGACTCGTCTCATTCCTCCCTGTAAACGTATGAATGCATGGTGATTTTTGTAATAGCTCAAACTTAATCTATATACATACACAGAATAAATAATTTCACAACTTGACAAAACTAGAGTTTGATTTCAAATGATTTTGATTAAATGATAAATGATTAAATTATATTTGATATATATATGATATATGATATGATTAAATGATTTTGATTAAATGATATTTGATTAAATATTGTGATTAAAATGAAGCCACATCCGAGATCCGTTATAATTTGTGGGGGGAAACATATTTTAATAACAAATATTTTAATGTTTTACATTACTTTCACTCTTAGTCTGGCTTTAATAGGTTTTAAAGTTTTAAATGTTTGTGATTAATTTTAGATTTTATGTTGAAGTTAAAAATCAACCCCATGGGAAAGCAGACGAAGGTGAGGATCTATCTGCAAGGTTTTATTGAAATGGCATATAGAACAAATGCTAAAGAACTCCAGGGACAAAGAAATAAAAGCACGAGAAGGACCGAACTAGAAGAAACCACACATGTACAACAACTGACAAAGTAACAAGTGAAAAACAAGGGCTATAAATACACAGGGGCAAACAGACTAGATCAGGGATGGGTAATTTCATTCCTGGAGGGCCACTTATACAGAGTTTAGCTCAACCCTGAAGAAATCGCCTGCCTGTAACTTTTCTAGTAATCTTGAAGAACTCGATTAGCTTGTTCAGGTGTGTTTGAAGCTAAACTCTACAATGGCCCTCCAGGACTGAAGTTGCCCATCCCTGAACTAGATAATGAGGAAACAAGTGGTGTTATGAGTTATAAGTGGCGTTTTGCATTCACTCTTTTAAGAATATTTGATATGTTTATGCTCACAATGTCAATGCAATTTGATGTCACATAAGCTTGTCATTGATGTCTGGTTTGGAAACATAAAGATTTTATAGGTAAATAACACTGATGTACAGTGGCGGCTGGTGAAAAATATTGTAGGGGGAAGAAAATTTTGAATTTAGTAGATGTGATTTCCTGCATTCTGGTGCATTTTAGGCCTTAGGCCATGCCCTTACCTATACCAATAAAATAACTTAACACAGTCAATACCAATGGTCAAATAATACAATAATAATAATAACAGTTTGACAGTTAATGATAATGAACAAGTTGCATGTTTATTATGCTCTGTGTGCTGACAGAAAAAAGTGCAAACGCATAATATTGATAAATTATAATATAGGTAATACAAAAAATAATAGGTAATACAACAATCTAGTTTAATCAATCCCCAGCTGTAGACTACATATTTATTTTTGACAAATTGGATAATGGATAACAATGTGTTGATACTAGAGAAAGAGAGGGTGGGACAACATTCTCGAGGGTAACACCCAAGTATGAGAAGAAAGTTGATTTTAACTAGTATGAAACACAGTAATCTAACTCAGAACTTAAAAACATAAAAAAAACAAAGCAAACACGTGTATTAATATTCCTATAATAACTATTTTAATATCAAATGTGTGTGAAACAGTGTTTATGTGTGTGTGAGTGAGTGAGTGAGTGACAGAGACAGACAGGTCAATTCCCACGACTAACTTTACATTATTTCCACTCGACGTCACTGGCGCTGCCATTCTGCTCTCATCTGAGGTAAAAAAAATGTCCCGTGGTGCGCGTGCACAGTGCACTCCCCTAATCTGATACTGTGGGCGATATTTTCAGCGCCCCCAAACCATAAAATTTGACGACGCTGATTGGCGAAATATAAACTTTTTTGCATAGCAACCGGGGAACCATTGGCTTAAATTCCAGCACTGTGGGGCTGAGCGAACTGGCGCCCTGGGAAGACAGCCTATTGGCTATACTACTACACCAACATGATAAAAGTAACGAAAGTGAATGCAAATATCATTCTGGTGAGTTCAAAACACTTTTCAAAGTAAAACCATTATTAGCATATAATTAACACAGATTATTTTTCAAAATGATAAATTATAATATATATTAAAAAAACAGACAGACAGGTCGGAGGGAGGGCGGCACCCCAGCGCCCTCTATGGGCGAGCCGCCCCTGCTGATGTAGAAGCACCAAATCCTCTTTTTAAGTCTAAACTTGACATGAACTGCAAACTTGCCCCACAGCAAGGATGTTGATCCAGGAAAACGTATTAAGTGAAATCAGCTTCTGATAGCAAGTCACGTGTCCTTCAGTTTCGGAAAGACTTGTGGAATCACATCCAGTCATTTATAGTTTATTTATCCAGTCATTTATAGTCATTTATAAATTAAGATGCTTTATCCAAAGCCATGACATATCTCAGAAAATGAAATACAGTTTATTACTGTAAATTTTAAGTTAAGTCTTAAGTTAACTTCCTACCGTATTTTTAATGGTAAAGTCCTGGTAACCACAGCTGCCGTTTTTTTTTTTTTTTTTTTTTACCATAAAAATTACGGTTTTATATTTTTACAGAGCGTATATAGTACTTTCTGTCAAAAAATTAACAGTTTTGCACTGTAACATTTTACATCTGTCTTTTACCGTTAAAATTACGATTATTAATTTTTAGGCTACCTCTAAAAAGAACATATATACAGTATATAGTGGCTATGGCTATACCTTTGACTTGGTTAAATAGATTCTGTGTGTATTATTCTCAATTAAAAATGGCTTTGGATAAAGCATCTAATAAATAAATAAATTTAAACCATAAATGATTTCGATTCCACAAGTGTTTCTGAATCTGAAGGACATGTGACTTGCTATCAGAGAACCTGATTTCACTTGATACATTTTCCTGGATCAACATCCTTGCTGTGGGGCAAATTTGCAGTTCATGTCAAGTTTAGACTTAAAACAAGGATTTGGTGCTTATATCAGTATTATTTACCTATCATTAGGTTTAGGGATTTGGTTGTGTACATTTTCGGAAAGGAATATTGTTTCTGGATCAACAAAATATGTTGACGCATATGCAAAATCAGGACTTGATTCAGAGTTATGAAACCACTCATATGTTATTAAACCACGTATTAAAGTAACATACACTGTACAAAAGATTTTTCAAAGTTGTAAAACCAAGACTAATGGAGTATGTTTTAAAAAGAAAATAGCCTACAATTTCAGTCTAATGTAATGCTTTTTTTATTGCGGTATTGCCATTTCTTTGTAATTATTTGTGCAATTTACTAGCAATTTCTGAGTAAAAATAGTTTCAAAGTAAATCATACACAGCTTTATTTAGTGTACAAACAAGGTCAAGGTTTGGCAGGTTAGCTGACATCGCCTGCTGGCAAATGCTTTTGGGTAAATGCATCTTACTCCAATCAAAACCAGCCATGTTTTGTGGTAAAATCAATCTTTTTGCATGCAACTTATAAAAGTGACGCAGGACCAAGTTTTGAACTCCGAGCAAGTTAATAAGAAATTTGATCTTTTAGGTTTTAAGTTTCGCCAACCTTGTAATTAATGTCTTCCAAAATTCAAACAAGTTGGTCAAACAAGTTTGTCTTGCAGCAATAATGTGTTCATTCTTCATATTACAGAGAGGACAACTAACATTCAACAGTGTTAAAATAAGCTTTGAAACAGTGACCCCTTTATTCCTTTCTGAGGGGCCCTGTGTTCCTGATTCTCTCTCTCTTTCATTCCTTCTGTCACTGCAAATCTTCTTTTTACTCTTTTTCTTTGCCATATCTCTTTCACAACCATCCGTCCTCACTTTCTCTAGTTTTCCTCTAGTTTCTCCGAAGGTTCTTACAGAGAAATTGTCAAAAACTCTCTAAACTGAATCAACAGAGCTTTATACACATGGTCTAAAATTATATTGCCAAAACATAATAAAAAAATTAACAAAATTCAGGCTTTCATATACACTGTAAAAACCAATTAGTTCAGTTTACTTAATTTTATTATGCAAACTCGTTGCCTTAATTTCATTAAGTAAACATAACTTAATTGTATCAAGTTATTTCAAGTTATTCTTAATCCGTTTAAGTTTTGTCAACTTAATCCTGTCTGTGATTCTGTCTGTGATCTGGGTCTAAGTGTATTCCCAGAGTGCATTGCAGCATGAATAAATTAATTGCTTTGTTTTTCTATTTTTGGCTTTATTTTACCATTACAATTTTATTTGCTATTGTTATTTGGGTTATACTAACCGCAAAAAAAATGTAAATTATATACTGTAAAAAAATATTGTTGGTTTAACTTAAAAAAGTAAGTAACCTGGTTGCCTTAAAATTTTAAGTTGATTGAACTGGAAAAAGTGAGTTAATACAATGAAGGAGAATAATTTAATCATCAGAAACTCAAAATTATATGTTATCTGAACTAAATAAATTATTTAAGTTGGTTTGACAAAAGAAAAAATGTTGTGATTACTCGCTGTAAAAAAATATTGTTGGTTTAACTTTAAAAAGTAAGTAGCCGGTTGCCTTAAAATTTTAATTTGATTGAACTGGAAAAAGTGAGTTAATACAATGAAGGAGATTGATTTAATCATCAGAAACTCAAAATAATAAGTTATCTCAACTAAATAAATTATTATAAAGTTGATGTGACAAAAGAAAATATGTTGTGATAACAAATCTTGAAAATATTTTTTTACAGTGTATATATTTATACTATTTATTGCTTCACAAATCAAATAATTGTGATTTTCATGTTGCATCATTGCAATCAATTAGAAGAGAATTACAAAAATATCACTTAAATTCCAAATTTATGGGCAAAATGGTACTCAAACCAGTCAAGTAATGTTTACAAGGTTTTTCTGAGTAACGAAGGCATGCAAACAGTACAGATTACTAAGAAATTTTGAGTGAGTTCAACAA